AATTTTATTGAGACGTTGTTCTACAGAAGGATTCTGAGAATTCCGGAGAAAGTGAGCAACGAACTAGTCTTAAAGAAAATGGTAAGAAAAAGAACACTTATACTCAACATCAAAAAGAGATTGCCGAGGAATATATATATATATATATATATATATATATATATATACGTACAGGTAAAAAATCCGTAGGTATGTAATCTAAGTAGATTCTATTAATACAAAGTATTAAAACTGAACCACAAAAGAGATCTCAATATAATTTTTTTATTATAGGGCATATAAGTGAATTGCAATCAATGAAACTTAAAGAAGTTACCCCCGTACAGATGGCCATTTCGACCTGTGGAAAAAAAATGTTTCTGTGGACTTGTCAATACAAATACATTTATTTTGCATTGACATGTCCGGGGAAATATTTTTTTTTTCCCGAGGACTAAATGGCCATCTGTACGGGGTAATTTGTTTGGATTTCATTTATTGTAATTCATACATACACACACACACGCACCCCCCCCACACACACACTCATATATATATATATATATATATATATATATGAGTCAAAGATCCAATTCAGATCAAATTTGATTGGAATCCGATGGGATGAATAGAGATAATGAACAAAGAGGAAATCAATCTAACATGTTTCACTTTTATTTAAGCTTTGTCAGCTTACTAAAAACGAAACATGTTAGATTGATATACGTTTCCTCTTTGTTCATTATCTTATCATATATATATATATATATATATATATATATATATATATATATATATTATTATGCGCAAATATGGATCAAAATACGATAGAATGATAAGATAAAGAACAAACAGGAAACGTTTATCAATCTAACATTTTTATTATTATTCTTAGGAAGGTGATAAGCTAAGGAAAATTAATTTGATTTATGATTCTCGCTTATCTTATACACAGGTTTGTCTTTATTTTCATTTTAACCTGAGGAAGCCAAAGAAACATATACTTCTCCGGCGAAAAGCATCTGTAGTAAAAAAAAAAAAAAAAAAAAATTCCACTTTTTTTCATCTTCATCATACACAGACACACACATATACACTATCTCTTACTACCCCACAGCACACACCCGCGCTCACGCATGCACACACACATATATATATATATACATATATATATATATATATATATATATATATATATATATATATATATATATATATATATATATATATATATATATATATATATATAATATTAGTGGTAAATATACACATACATATGCAAAATATATAAATATATATACATACATGCATACACATACATATATTTAGTATAAAAAATAATTCCAAGAGGATAGAATCCAGGTAGAACTCAATGTCCAGGACAGAGTAAGGATATATATATATATATATATATATATATATATATATATATATATATATATACACATTTCTTCATGGAAAAATTTGGAAAAATTCCCCGCATACATAATTTTTGTAACCAATTAAAGATACTTTTTCTAAAGAGTAGAAATAAATAATGAAATTATATTCTAAAGCACTAAATAATTCAAAATGATATTCACACGACATTTTAAATCTCATAGCTGATTATTAGGACAAAATTCGACATGTATTTTTAATTATTATTAGAAAAGAAATAGAAAAGAAACTACATAAAAACAATAAAATATTAGGTTGGTGCAAAAATAATTTCGTTTTCTTACATAGTAACATGTTAGAAAACGAAATTATTTTTACACCAACCTAATATATATAAAACATAATAAAAACAGAAAAACAAAAAAACAGAAAACAAAAAAAAATTTATAAATTTTATTTTAAAAACTATAAATAAATTATAAACAAATTAAATAAAAAATTATAAAAAAGCTATATAAAAATTATAAAAAACTATATGAAATAAAATAAAACCTATATAAAAATTTGTAGAAACTATATGAAGAAAAAATATAAAAAATGTATAAGGTAAAACGATATAAAAACTACATAAAATTTATAAAGACTATATAATTATAATTAAAGACTAATATAATTATTAAATACTATAAAAATAATATTAAAAACATATGTAAAATATTACATAAAATGTTTATAAGAAAATGGATAAGTAAAGTTTATAAAAACTATATAAATCTTTTTTAAAAAACTTTATAAAAATATTTATAAAAAAAGTTAAAAATAACCGATTCTAATTTTAATGTTTGGCATCACGATACATTCTAGAAAACACATGATTTAGATTCGCATTGCCTGATTCCACACTTGTGAGCCATCGATTAGACGAAATTTATTTTCATAAATAAAAATGAATATGCATTTATGAAATTTTTTTGGCATTCAAATAATTAAGTTGAAATTCAAAGTATATTTTTATGTATGCATTTCTCTATACATGTAGAACCCGCAAATTACCTATTTGAACCTTTCAACATATACACACATACACACGCGCACACACACGCGCGCGCGCACACACACACGCATATACATATATATATATATATATATATATATATATATATATATAGATAGATAGATAGATAGATAGATAGATAAAGAAAGTATAAGAAAGAAAGAAAATGAAACAGACAGAGAGTGAGCAAGGTTTGACATACCTATTTAAAGAATGCATATTTTTTTTTCGTTGAGATTCATATATGGGGAGTGTAAGTAATTTATATGCTCTGTCATAATAAATACATTGAGCTCTTTTTGGATCAGTTTTAATATTTGATATTATTAGGATCTACTTGGATTATATACTAACTGATTTCTTACCTATACTATATATATATATATATATATATATATATATATATATATATATATATATATATATGTTCAATTTTTCTTGTTCATATAAGCGTTTTCTTTTCTGGAGATAAAACGTAAAAAATTTCCAAATGATCCATTTATCCGAACGCATTCGGCTTATCTTCTACCTATTATCGAGACTGATTTTCATTTATTTTTTATGTTTTTTTTTAACTGAATGGATGAATTTTTTTGTATGTATCTAGAGAATGTTTTATTTTCCAAACACGGTTAGCACATTATCTAATTTTCTTGATTATCTGAAGATCAAGTTATACTTATCTTTGCGCTTATATATATATATATATATATATATATATATATGAATTTAAAATGTCAGATACAGATACACATACACGCATATACATAGCCATCACTGCTTCAACTCTAATGGTTGGTCGCTCGTTTCCAAGTATTCCTGTTGCAGACACCTGCTCAGGCACATTCACTCTTGTACAACACCCACAGAGCCCACCAGTGGTTTATACTGTAAAGATGCAGAGCGGACCTTAGTTACTATTTCTGGGAGAGAGCGCATAATCTGGCGTGATCAACAGTCTGAATAAGAGATATTGATATGTTTATTATTGATATATTTGGATAACCAGCTACTGGCAGAGAGTGCACTCTCTGGGATTATAAACACCTTCAACTTAATAACAATATCATATAACCGTAACAAATTAATACAGAATTTTAAAAGATTTAAAACTTTATAAATTATTCATTAAAATTTTTACAAAAATGAAAACAATTCTTGTAAAACGGTAAAATAATTATTCTTAAATGAATATTGTTAATAAAAGCAATTAAAATCTTTTCTAATTAGATAGTGTTTTAGTTTTATTGCAGTTTTTATTTTACGATTCAGAGCATAAAAAACTTGATGAGTTAATTTCTCCAAGGATGTGTGCTTATAACTAATATAAACCTTAGGCCTTACAAAAATGAATTTCTCTAAATTTCATAAAATGAAATAATTGGGGTTGGAGTAACGGAGATAAAAAAAAAATACATTTTTACCAAAAATAAAACATTTCTCAAATAATTTCATGCATTTTGTAATAACGAATCCGACTGGAATTGGAACTCGGCACTCTGATTAACAATTTCGAGCCATTTTCCATTACAACACCCGCACATCCAAGTTTACAGCACCTAGCTCCTCCTCCCTTTCTATTACACCCAAATGCCGTGCGTTTATTTTTTAAAAAGTAATGTAACAATCATTATTTTTTTTTTTAAATAAAGCCTTTAGCGATCACTTGATAAAAATCGCCTGATTATACCGTAAGGTTGAAACCAAGGTAGCGGATTCAACTGATCTCCTGATTTTTAAAGTTAAAAGCTTTACATCTTATTTTTACTTTTATTTTATTTTATTTTCACACGTGTATTGAGCACTTTTTAATACTACTCTTTCCTGGTCTGATTCAACTCTGACCATTAACCTTATAGATAGATAGATAGATAGATAGATAGATAGATAGATAGATAGATAGATAGATAGATAGAATAATCCATATGCATTTCATTAACACCTGATAAAAATGCAATATTGTCTAATAGAAATATAATATTGATTATCATATCCCTTGAACTTCAGGAACATTTGCATTGTATTGTGAAACTGACAATCACCATACATTAATGATTCCTATGTCCTATTCCCTCATTGCTTATTACCTTTTAACCGTTGGATTTTTTTCTAAATGTGTTGATCCATTAAAATAAAATGTATGCTTAAAAGATGAAAAACAGATTGCTTAAACGTAATCTTCATGGTCTGAAGATTAAGTTTAAACATGAAAAAGACTATCACCACTGAATGTTGAACGCAATGTCCACTTATATATCTATTCTTTCTCTCTCATTCTCCCCCGTATATATATATATATATATATATATTTGTGTGTCTGTGTGTGTCTGTGTGTGTGAGTGTGTATTCAAATGTTTTACTGTTAAATCGATCTGATCAGAAAATATAATTTGATTTCAACCAAATCTACATCCGCGAGACAAAACGGGATTCACGTTAATCCGTTGAACGTATGACGCCATTATAAAAATTTGGTTATAACAAATATGGAGTCTGCATTTATTTTCATTTATTTCTTTACGCTTTGTAATTGTTTCAGTCTTAATTAAAGGGGAACAGGACAAAAAACTAAAGTAGATCAGTATAAATGAAATGCATCAGAAAAGACGATTGGCAAAAACTATTTTATTTTATTTTATTCTATCTATCTATCTATCTATCTATCTATCTATCTATCTATCTATCTATCTATCTATCGCAGTCTGTTAAAATCTATCTATCCCATTTTTTCAAATCTATCTATCTATCTATCTATCTATCTATCTATCTATCTATCCCAGTTTTTTCAAATCTAACTATCCCAGTCTGTTCACATTTATCTATCTATCCCAATTTGTTCAAATCTATCTCTTTAACCCAGTCTTTTCAAATCTATCTATCTATCTATCTATCTATCTATCTATCTATCTATCTATCTATCTATCTATCTGAGTCTGTTTAAATCTATCTATCTATCTATCTATCTATCTATCTATCTATCTATCTATCTATCTATCTGAGTCTGTTTATCTATCTATCTATCTATCTATCTATCTATCTATCTATCTATCTATCTATCTATCTATCTATCTGAGTCTGTTTAAATATATATATATATATATATATATATATATATATATATATATATATATATATATATAACGGAAAACTTTTATGACCACACCTCAACTATTATTAAGAAGCGTGTGTCTTTCGATTTTTGAGAAAATATAAGGGTAGATAGCTCTCACGCTGAATTAGGCTTAAAAAATTCATTAATTAAATGACCCGCCCCTGTTTGAATAAATGGCCCGGAACAATGTATAATATATCTAATTCAGTATTTTTAATTTTAAATAGGTTGTATAATTTACTTTGCCTTCCAATTACTGACTTGCATAATTACATTTACCATCCCATTTCATTGCACAACTATGCAATGTAAAACACACACACACGTACGCACGCACGTACGTACGCACGCACGTATGCACGCATGTATAGACCCAAAGCAACCTGTTGATTCAAATCTGTTATTTCAAGTGTATTACGAAAAAGGAAAAAAAAACCTTCTTCCTCTTTCCTTGATTACGCCTGGCTTCCGCAGAGTGAAATGTTGTGTTGTTATTCCCTGGCTCATCAAAATTGACATGGATCATTTGGATAGATAATTTTTATTTTACTATCTAATTATTTTAGTAGATTTTAATTGCTTATTTTACTATATGAAATTTTATTTTAAAAGTCAGAGAATAACAATCTAAGAGACACCATTAATTAGAATGGGCGATATAACAACAACAATATTAATAATAATAATAAGGATGATGATGATGATGATGATGATGATGATGATGATGATGATGATGATAATAGTAGTAATAGTAATAATAATGAGAATATCAACAATCCCTGTTATAGTTGGAGCCCTCTGATTGGTTGGAAAAGATTCCAGTAGACTAATTGAAGGGATTCCTGGAAGTCCATGCCTTAAAGAAATACAGAAAATTGTTCTCACGAGTAAAGCCCACACATTACGAAGAGCTTTTTGTAAAATATGATTTTTTTTTAAATTGCTCAGTGGAAAATGTCATGATGCCATTTCTGATACTAGGTCTCCGGTCAGGACCCGAAACGAAATGTGTACACACCAGAAATGAAAGGTAATATGATACTACTACTACTACTAATAATAATAATAATAATAATAATAATAAATGGTATGAACACCACCCAGACCCGGTTACGGAGATAGGACCTGTTACAATTCTATGGGACTACACAATACACACTCAAATCAAAGTCAACCGCCCAGATATTGTTATTAAAGACCACAAACAAAAAAAAGTGCCTTCTTATTGATATGGCAGTCCCTGCAGACTGCAATGTATCTTTGAAGATATTCAAAAAGCTGTCAAAATACAAGGACCTTGAAATCGAAATCTCGAAAATGTGGCACATGGGAACATCAACAATCCGTGTTGTAGTTGGAGCCCTAGGATTGGTTGAAAAATATTCTAGTAGACCAATTGAAGGGATTCCTGGAAGTCCATGCCTCAAAGAGATACAAAAAATTGTTCTCACAAGTACAGTCCACACTACGCAGGGCTTTATCTATGTAATTTTTTTTTCTGTCAGTGGAAAGTGTCATGATGCCATTTCTAAACTTTGGTCTGTGGGCGGGACCCGGAAAAATGTGTAAATGCCAGAAATCAAAGGAAATAATAATAATAATAATAATAATAATAATAATAATAATAATAACTAGCTGTACCTGTTTAAATTTCACGGTTTTGCTATTTGAATTTGTGATGAATCGTAATTCTTAAGTTAATGTTTGACTTAGCTGTTTGCAAATTCCACGACTATAACCTCCACTCCAAGAAATTCCCGTCTTGTATCGTTACATATTTAACCTAAGCAACTTTAACAGGACAGTGTAATTGCAATCATAAATATGAATACGGGACATTATTTAAAGAAGTAAGAGGGTACAAATGAAAAGATTTAAGATTTTTTTCCATTTCACTGAAGAAGACATTATGACCAGGTGAACGCTATCACCTCCGCTTTCTTTCTTTCTTTCTTTCTTTCTTTCTTTCTTTCTTTCTTTCTTTCTTTCTTTCTTTATTTGCTTTCTTTCTTTCTTTGCTTTCTTTCTTTCTTTCTTTCTTTCTTTCCTTCTTTCTTTCTTTCTTTCTTTCTTTCTTTCTTTCTTTCTTTCTTTCTTTGCTTTCTTTCTTTCTTTCTCCAAATAGCATCTCTGGTATGCTTTTTTCCTTGCGATCAAATCGGAATAGTCCACTTTGCAGAACACTGCTGGTGAGCAAAACAACCACTTGCGAGTGATCTCCTGCTCTTGACACCCAACCATGGACCAAGACGGGTTGGTCGCCTAGCAACCCCCTACATTGGCCACCTATGTAATGACACAGAATGCCACACACCTTCCAACCTTGATGCAGGACCGTGATGGTTTAGCGTGATAGACTCAAAAATGTCTGAGCTAGCTCGTTTGAATAAAAATGTACTATCAGACTAAGGAAGAAGCAGAATAATAATAATAATAATAATAATAATAATAATAATAATTGTCAATGTCTCATATGTTTTTTAATACGTCATCTACTTAATGTATCATTAGTAATTTTAGCAATTATTTTTACAATTAAAATAAAGTAATATTACTTTTTTCTTGCAATAAAATTATCTGTTCACATTTTGAAAAAAAATGTAATATTTGATAAAGCGATTCAATTAGTATATATTTAAAATTTCATGAAAAAGTCTATACTTATTTAATCATTAAACCTTAAAAAGACACGCAGACTGACGGCCATATTTACATATTAAACAATAGAATTTCCAATAATTTGTAATTTATTGGCAGGCCGAACACTTGAGAAAGATGATGTTGATAAACACATATAGAACTATTACGTATCTTTAGGAGATTCAAACCTATTTATTTATCACCACGACCACCACCACCATCGCCATCATCGTCATCATCATCATCATCATCTTATAATTCGGCTTGTTTGTTCGTTCCATAGTTAGCATGTACGTTATGCTTTGCCAGTTCTTCATAAATAATGGACTATGCCGATTTGATCGCGAGGAATGACGGAAAAAGAAACGCTGTTTGGTTTCAGTGAGAAAAAGAAAGAAAGAAAGAAAAAAGAAAAAAGAAAGAAAGAAAAAAGAAAAAAGAAAGAAAGAAAAAAGAAAAAAGAAAGAAAGAAAAAAGAAAGGGAAAATGGAAGAGGCGTTTACAGTCTCATACGTTTCATGTCTGTTTCAGTCAAATGGAAAGCTTTGTCAATTTTAAGTCTTTTTCATTTGTACCCTCATACTTTTTTAAACAATGACCTGCATTCATACTTCTTCTTCTTCTTCTTCTTCTTCTTCTTCTTCTTCTTCTTCTTCTATGTGCCGCATCCCGTCAAAGCATAGTCGATCACGACTCTCCACAACTTCCTATCTCGTGTGGCTCTTAGCATTTTTTCTCCCTTTTCTAAGCCCCCCGTGCCCAGTTCTGACGTCCATTCACACAAGCCGGTCAGGTAAGTGGTACGCAGCTTTCCCCCATCTCTCTGGCTCTCAATATACTTTGTGAGGATTAAGTTTTCCAAGCTTTCCAGATTTTGAGTAAATGTGTTTTTCCGTTGCCATTTTCTTTCCTTGTTGCCTACTTACTCTGTCCATGGAATTTTCAGGATCCTTCTGTAGAACCACATTTATTCTGCGTCTAGTTTTTTCCTCATTGTTGAGAAAATTGTCCAGCCTTCACTGCCATATAAAAGAATAGATATCCCATAGCAATCCAGCAATCTTTTCTTTGTTTCGAACGAAATTTTTCTGTTTCTCAACACCTTGCTTAGCCTTTTGTGTGCCTCTTTCGCTAATCCAATGCGTGTTCGAATCTCGGTGTGGCATTTTCCATCTTCTGCTAAAACGTTTCCCAGATATTTGAATGTCCTTCTGAAACTGCTTGATTAATTACGATTGCAATATTTTGCTAAAGTCGTTAAGTTCAAATATTTAAGGATGCAATGGGGGATTTCCCCGGCTATTTTATAGTCGTGAAATTCGTATAGTAAATATTCAGTCATTAACTTAAGAATCATTATCATTATCATTCATCAGAAAATTCTATTCTACAAAGATTAGAAATTTTCAAATGTACTACTATTCATTATTATTATTATTGTTGTTGTTGTCGTTGTTGTTGTTGTTGGACAAACAAAATGATTGACGTAACTCTTCCAATATTTTTCAATGCATATAGAAGAGCGTGATATAAAAAAAGAAAAAGTCAGTGCTTAACTATGTTCGACAATATTTCGACATAATATTGATTTCTGTTGTATACACATTTCCTTCCGGGTCCCAACCAGAGACCTAAGTTCAGAAATAGCTTCATGACATTTTGCACTGATCACTTTCGTAAAAATAAAAAAATCTAAGATCACACATATTTTGAATGATGAGACAGTCAAGATAAAATAATATTCAGGAAGGTATTATTATTATTATTATTATTATTATTATTATTATTTCTTTTGATTTCTGTTGTCTACACATTTCCTTCAGAAACCTAAGGTCAGAAATGGCTTCATGATATTTTCCACTGATCATTTATTTCAAAATAAATAAATAAAATAAACACGGATAGGACAGATACATAAAGCTCTTCGTAATGTGTGAGCTGTATTTATGTGTACAATTTTTGTATTATTATTATTATTATTATTATTATTATTATTTTATTATTATTAAATGAAAAACTGAAATGTTGATTTTATTTGAATTTATTAAAAAAAGAAAAAAAAAAACATGTCTTCGACAGGATAATGTATGATATTTCAACAAGGCGGGTTTTTATTTATTTATTATTTGTTTTAGTATTTTTACAACATTTTAATGCTGTGTACAAAGTGCAGTCGATATTTTAAGTGTGAGGACGTGTGCAGGGGTTGGGGTGCATTGAATAAATAAGTAATGTAAGGTATGGAAAATAGTGTATGGTGGAAAGATGAGAAAGAAAGAAAGAAAGAAAGAAAGAAAGAAAGAAAGAAAGAAAGAAAGAAAGAAAGAAAGAAAGAAAGAAAGAAAGAAAGAAAGAAAGAAAGAAAGAAAGAAAGAAAGAAAGAAAGAAAGAAAGAAAGAGGAGAAAGAAAGAAAGAAAGAGGAGAAAGAAAGAAAGAAAGAAAGAAAGAAAACCTTTACAAGGGAGGGTGGTAGAGGCAAAAGAAAAGAAAGAGATAAATTGTCCAGAAAGAGAGATATAAAGAATGACTAAAGAAAAGGTGGCGGGGTGTAAAAATGGACAGAAAGAAAAGAGAATGTTGAAACGTTTGAAAAATAAGAAAAATAATTCAACACCAATCATATCCCCGAGAAATATTTGAACGTGTGCAAAATTTTC